GCACTTCTTATCTTCTGATGCCCCCATTTTTGCAACTCCTTCCAGATCTGTCCTTGATTGACAACAGTTAGTCTGTGCCATTTGTTCTGCTTTAAGTAAGATAATTAAATTGATGCGCCTCTTGAATTCCAAGTATACACTTTCAAACTTTAGCTATTCACTTCATGAAAGTGGCTGTCAAGCACAAGCAACCAGAGCCACTTGTGAATAGCTAAAGTTAGTAACTTTATTGTCTATCACCTATTGTATGTTACAAGAATCCCCCCCAGACTGCTTGTCTTCTCCTGGGAAGGACCAGATAAGGCTTCATGGATCTTGGGGGAGGTCAGGTTTACTCCACTTGCAGCTGCACAATGACTCCAAGCTAGATCCTCACTTGACTCCTCCTTCCAGCCTAGGTGGCAGTTTCCCAATAGTGATTCCTGAACAGGACTGTACAATCACTAATTCTATTTATTCTGATTTACCTGATTTTTCTCCTCTATCATTCACAATGAATTATTCCTCAGTTACCCTGGTTATCCATATGTTTAGGACCCCTTCCTTTCTTTCTGTAGACCAAGAGAAGGGGAAACCTTGTTCCATTAGATGTTGGCAGATACCAGCTCCCATTGTTGGAAATAACTGTAATAATAATAGTAATAGTAGTAATAATAAGAATAGAATAGAATAACAGAACAGAACAGAACAGAACAGAACAGAATAGAATAGAATAGAATAGAATAGAATAGAATAGAATAGCTTTATCGGCCAAGTGTGATTGGTCACAGAAAGAAGTTGTCTCTGGAGCATAAGCTCTCAGTGTACATACAAACAACAAAGTGATAAGATACAAAGAACTAGTGATAAATCATAAGATAGCAATAGGAGGAGGAGAAGGAGGAAAGAGGAGAAGGTGAGAAAGATGAGAAGAGATACATATCACAATGGAAATACATAAAATATATGTATTGCCGTTGTTTCTATAGTCTTCTTTCTCCACCATCTGTTTCTTAGTAAGTATGGACAATGTTATTTTCTTCTACAGTCATATTCCTGCATGAACATAAGATCATAAGCCTAACTCCTTATCTTCTTGGCCTTCCACCATTGAACCTGCTTAAGCTTTTGCTGTCCTTCAGCTAAATTAAATTGACTAAGGTGCATTTCCCTACCACCATATGTCACCACAACCCCCTTCTTGTAGCAATCGGAGGGTACCTTGCTTTGTAGCCCAATTTGTGAAATTTTAAGAGCTCACTAATCAGCACTGAGTGTTTATTGGTTCCCAATGCCCAACCTTTCTCCTTCCATCAATTTTCCTTCACTGCTAGGAGACACTCAATTTTTTTCATTACCTGAAGCATATTCTTCAATGTTTACAGCTACATAACCTTAATAGGGGTCTAATTTGGCAAGAATAGCCAATTAGTTCCACAGAACGGCTTGAAATTCAGTTGAATTTGGACTTAGTCATTACACTGGTAACAATGCTAGCTTGCTGGTGAGTTGTTTTCTTAATAATAGAAATAATATAGTAATAGGGGCTGATATTAAACTAAATTAAAGCAAGAGAGCACAATTTTAAGATGTAGGATTAAAATTAATATTAGCTCTATTGAGAAGCTTCCAGGGCTTCCTTTAATATGATTTTGTTTTGTCTTCCATTTGAAAGCCAGACCGTATTTTTTTTTTTTAATGTGTATCTCTTTCTCTGTCATTTAAGAAAATAATAATTTGGAGAATACGAATTGCTTGGACTCATACATGTCTCAGATCTCTGTTATGGTCAGTTCGTGTGTTTTACTGTTCTACTTCAAAAGATTCTAAGGGCTGAAAAAAAGAGGTCACGAACCCCCAAGTGTCCTTCAAAATGCTTAAAAGACAGGACATGATGAAGGGATGGGACCTGTCGAAGATATATCATTATAGAATTGCTGTTGTTTCTTTTATGTTTCAGAACCAAGCATCCATGCTCAAGTAAACCAAATCAGATGAGGTCTTTTCTATTTTTAAGGACTTTCTATTTTTAACGGTTTGCCCTTTTGAGAGCAGCATAATTGCTGAGAAGCCTGAAGCGAGGTTGATTCTGTCCCTCCACAAATTAAAACACTGAACAGTGAAACGAAACTACATAGTGTATTACTCAAAGTCTCCAGCATACATTACTTGGTATGAAACTAGCCCATATGATTTTGAAACTGTGCCCTTATGCATGCATCTGGTCCAGATCTAGGCTTTATATATGTACATTTGCTAATATTCACTATTTGATGGGCAAGATATTAAGATATTCACTTCTTGATGGGCAAAATATTAATTCCTATTGATTGGGGTATCCATTTGTGATAGAATATGCCATCCTGGAGGAATAATTGGCCCCAATCTATGCTTTATAGGCAGGATTTGGGTTTGGTTGGTCTAGAGAAAAGAAGGACTAGAGGGGACATGATAGCAGTGTTTCAATATTTGAGGGGCTGCCACAAAGAAGAGGGGGTCAAGCTATTCTCCAAAGCACCAGAAGGCAGGACAAGAAGCAACTGATGGAAACTAATCAAGGAGAGAAGCAATCTGGAATTGAGGAGAAACTTCCTGACAGTTAGAACAATTAACCAGTGGAATCACCTGCCTCCAGAAGCGGTGAATGCTCCAACACTTGAAGTTTTTAAGAAGAGACTGACAGCCATTTGTCCGAAATGGTATAGGGTTTCCTGCCTGAGCAGAGGGTTGGACTAAATGACCTCTAGGTCTCTTCCAGCTCTATTCTGATTGACTTTTATGTGTGTTTTTCTTAATACTCTCTTCTTAATAGGCAGGGAATAATAAATATTAATTCTCATTGATCAGCGTGTTTATTTGTGATATTGATTATTCCATTCTGATGGAATAATTCTGCTATTATATTAGTCTCCTGTACAGCAACCACCCGTGTATATGCTGAACTACAGAACATAAGCCAATAACCTAAATATTGTTAAAAGATATCATTTCACTACTCCTGGCCACTGGCACTAATAAACCTGATTGTCAAAAGTCTTTATAGTCTGATTACAAATTGGGTTTGTTTCTATTCTGAACCATGGCAGGGCAAAACTGGGTCCTGTTGCAAAAGGAAGTCAGAAACAGGGTGGTTTAAAAAAAAAAAAACAGGTTTATGCATTCTGCCTCATAAGAGCTAAGCAACACCTTTGCTGATCTCTAGTTCTCTAAATTTTGGATCAAAATGCAATGGCTGCAGATCATCCCACACCACAACAATTATTATAACGATGCAATGTCGCAGGATACAATTGCACAACAGAATGCAGTCGAAAACCTGATGGGAAACAGATTGTCTGCTGCTTCTTCTAACCACAAAATAAATATTAAGGCTTTTTAGCAAACAAATATCTGAAGAATGAATTTTGTTCTGTGTCGTGTAGCTTTGAGGCATGTTGTAAAATGGCAATAAAATAAATGAGAATTGGTAAGCAGGAGACAGAGGGAGGGAGCAATTGCTAGGATATTCATCAGGCTGATTTTATTTTAATTTTTTTTTCCAACTAGGCTTGAACATGTTTAACCTTTCCTGGTATTCATATAATTTATTCATTTGATTTTTTTTGGGGGGGGGGTGGAAATGTAGGTAGGATTCTAAATCATTTCAGTGCTGGGAAGAGGGAAAAACATAGGTTTAAAAAATGGAATAAGGTAGGACCTCCTAGAAACTTGTTGTTTTACCATTATTAATGACTATGAAACCTGTATAATTACATTTACATAATTAGATCAACAGGCATTGCTGCATTTTGGAAATATGATAATTTTCATATGAGTTTCTGAATAATGTAGCATTCCTCACTAATGCCCGGGAAAATGATGCTAAATATTTCCTTCCTTTGGGCAACAAGCAAACTCTGTGTTCTCTAAACCAACTTCCCAATTTATTTCAAGGGGAGGGGGAATGGAATAAAAGGGCTAGTAGTAGGATTTATTGACAATGGCTTGCAAACTTGTTAAATTTTTAAAAAATAAGACAAGGCCACCAATGAAGTTGCCTTTAGAAATTTGATTCAATAAAGTACCCTATAAATGCCAAATTTTGCAGAGATTTTTTTTCAGCTTTACTACTTTCTTCCATCTCTCTCCAGGATATTGTAGGCCTGTAAACAGATAATTAAACACTTATATGATGCCTTGCCAAGAAAGAAACAGAAATGGGTTTTATAATCCCTGATTTGGATAAAATCTCTCATTCCAGTTGCCCCTTCCCTTCCCTTCCCCTCCCCTCCCCTCCCCTCCCCTCCCCTCCCCTCCCCTCCCTCTCCTTCCTTTCTTCCCCTCCCTTCAAAATTTTCAATCTTTACTCCCTTCCCTTCTCAGAGTGTTTGTTCTCAAACCAGGCTGCCTTATTGCAACCCCCCCCCACCCCCATTATTTTTGGCTCAATTTTCTCAAAGTTCATTTTCATAAAAATGCATGATATTTTTCTTCCCTGTTATTACTTTCTGCTCTTTGTAGGTTTGTCTATTTGTTCTGTATCTTTCTATGTACAATAGAACCTTTGTTACTTCACAGAATTAGATTCTCTGTGATTACTTTGATAACTTAAAGAGAAGGAAGGAAGGAAGGAAGGAAGGAAGGAAGGAAGGAAGGAAGGAAGGAAGGAAGGAAGGAAGATCTTCCTCTTTCTCTCTCTCACTTTTCCTCCTTATCTGCCCACAACTAAAATGTCTTTGAAGTCTAAATTGCTACTTAAAGATGGCAAAACAAAGGCACAAATGTCAAAACCAATTGTTCAGTCCTAAAGATTTGGATGCAAGTGTCCCTTATAATGATAGAGTTTTCACTACAAAAGTTAATTACCTTAACTTGGTTTGTCATGATTTAAAATCCATATTAATTAACCTCCTTTCCAAAGTGTGCAATTCTACGCTAGCCCGTCGCTTTGCAGAGCATCCACTAATAAATGCATTCTTACATCTTAATTACCTCTTAGTAAATGGGAAGCTTTTTCTTTTCTGTTTCTATATGTCACACAGAACACATTTGACTTGCATTTGGACTCCGTCAAGCAAACCCGGCTATTCCTTTGCTTTTGAACCATCTGTCAGTCTTTGATATTTCTCTTGTTGGTGCAGCCCCATTTCTTCTTCACTGTAAAACCTGAATTACTTTACAGGTAAGCATGAAACTCTGCCCCCCTTTTTGGCACTGAAGAGAAGAACACTCTTAAGGAACGCTGGCCTTTCTGCCATTTGTTCTGCTTTGTTTTACAATAACTTCAAATGACCATTTGAAAATACACCCAGGAGTGATGGCTACTCTGAAAGTCTGTTTCAGGTTAATAGGGTCAGTAGGTCTAAATAAATGAATGAGGACATTTTAGATTGAGATAGCTCCTTCTTGCACTAGTGACATCCCTCTGATTTAAATACTGATTCATGAAGCAGTTTTCTAATCCTTTCACAGTCTACTACAGATTTAATCTCATGTGTCAACAGTCCTCTGGTGAAAATTCACAAGAGATTTGATATATAGATTCCAATAATTTAATCAATTCATTGAGATATCCAGGAACCAATGCTCCTTTCCTTCCTTCCTTCCTTCCTTCCTTCCTTCCTTCCTTCCTTCCTTCCTTCCTTCCTTCCTTCCTTCCTTCCTTCCTCCCCTCTTTCCTTCCTTCTTTTTTTCCTTTCTTTCTCGAGACAAAACAAATGGTATTTCCCTCCAAATTCTTCTTCACCTTAGAAAATTAATCCCTACTAGTGACATTTATATTAAACTGACTATTGCCATCAAATCTGCCATTCTTTGGTATTTTGTAGAACATTGGGTTAGGGTTGGATCCAAAGTAATTTATTGTCTATGAAAGGACTAGAGGAAGAAAAAAAAAATACACCTAAACAAAGATTATGAAAGAAGAGATGTTAAAATTTGCAGTACAACACTGGTCAAGTCTAAGGCAGATTGCATTGAATAGTAATGCTAGTCTAAATATAAAGAAACAATATTCAGCCTGGTTTACACACACACACACACACACACACACCCAAGAATATCTATCTATCTATCTATCTATCTATCTATCTATCTATCTATCTACCTACCTACCTACCTACCTACCTACCTACCTACCTACCTACCTACATATACACATATACATATACCCACAAACCCAAATCATGAATGCACCAATGTGCTTTTCCAAGAAGTTCCCCTTTCCTATGGAAATGCATCCACATTTTCTCCCAATACATTCTCTTACTTAGAAGCTGAAAGCAGAGTCCTGACTTTCCTGCAATTAGCTCTCACCTCCGTGTTGTTCCTCTTCAGGATCATAATAGTCTGAGCTGAAACCTATAATTGGAGTTGCCATCAGGTTATATATGCCGTTCCACCGTTTCCCTTTTGTGAAAGTATTTTTAGGTTATTTTTTCCCCTCCTCCATTCATGCAAATGTACAGATGTACACACTTGGTGTACTTGACTGAACAATGCTATGCTAGCCTTGACAAGGGTCGCCTCGTCTCCTAATTTGCAATATTAGGAGGTTTTAAAGTTAGTGCATGTCAAGCGGAAAAGTGGGGAAGGCAGAACTCACATTAGCCGGTTTGGTATTTTGACTGTATCCCCCTTGCAAACACTATGTGGAAACCTTAGCAAGGTCAACAGTATTAGAGCCCACTTTGCTGGATATTTTAGGAGTTCAGTCAGACAGGATTATCATTGGGCTAAAAGCTATAATTAAGGAAAGACAAACAGAACAATGATTTGGTTTTTTTTTTTTAAAAAAGAAAAGCAGAAAATGCTAGCTGCACCCTTTCAATGCATTTGATACAAATACCCGTATAGTTTGTGCCAGTGGCCCCCAACCTTTTGGGCACCAGGGACCGGTTCTGTGAAGAAAGGTGTTTATGCAGACCAGAAGGGGCGTGGTTTCATGTATTGCTTGTGTGCACGGCCCGGGTTTTGGCATGCCATGGCCTGGTGCCAGTCAACAGACCAGTGATTGTGGACCCCTGGATTATGCCAATAATGTTGGATGGTCTTATGTAAACATCTGACTATGCCAGTCTTTGCCAGAGTGAAGATTTCATTGATGGAAAAACCCTTCCTCTCTCTTTCTCCCTCCTTCTCTCTCCCTCTCATTATTTTCACCTTCTTCATCTCTCTCCCTCTCCCCCTCTCTCCTTTTCTCCCCCTCCTTTTCTCCCTCTGTCTTTTTTCTCCCTCCCTCCCTCCCTCCCTCTCTCTTCCTCTCCTTCTTCGTCTCTCTGTTTCTCCCTCCCTCCCATTCTGAATGTCTTCACGGAATCTCAGTTTCCTATCAAAGATTAACAAACGTAGGCTGAGCACCAGTGAAACTCCAGCAAAGAATTTGTCAAGGATAGAAAATGTCAGCAAACAAATCCCATTTGATTTGCTTATAGAAATCCTGAAATCCAAGGCCACTCATTTGTAACTAGAAGCGAGAATGCAAATGAGGTCTCCTTTAGCAAGTTTAAGCCAAACCGGTTCACTAGCTCCACAACTGGAAGGAATAAAATAAATGGGAAAATTTCACTTCAGCTGAAATACCATTATCTATTATCAAAAAAAATCAGTGTAACGGAACGCAGAAAAGACCTTGGGAAGACATGCGGACAAGGGGGCAGTTAGATGAGAGAAGAAGAAGAATGGGCAGAACAGGACTAAGAAGAGATACACTCTTTCTCTTTCTTGCACATAAGATTTGTACTTTTAGACTTGTGAGATGCAAAGGAGTCCCTGCACTAGTCGTTGCCGACTTTAGGGATTGGTGCTCATCCCCATTTCAAGGCCATTGAGCCAGCACTGCCCCAAGACATTTCTGCGGTCCTGTGGCCAACATGACATCACAGAGCGCTGTTATCTTCCCACCAAAGTGGTACCTATTTATCTACTTGCATTTGTATGCTCTTGAACTGCTAGGTTGGCGGGAGCTGAGGCGAGGAAGGGAGCTCACCCTTTCATGTGGAGCTGGGGTCTCGAACCTGAGCTGCCAGGTTTCCAGCCAACAAGCCCAGCATATTTCATCTCATCTAGCTGGTAAGATTGACTTGAGTTAGAAGACAAATCAATAAATAGTCCTCAAGCACCTGGAAAATTAGATCTGAGAAATCTCTTTCGCAATGGAAAAAAAAAAACCTCTTGTGAAACCAAAAATGTCTTCCCTTAATCTAGATTTCTTCCTTCCTTCCCTTTCCCTTTTAATTTAATTTAAATACAGTAATTAAGAAATGTGAAGAGCAATTTGGGATACAAGTAGCAATCCAGAACACATTCATATAGGACCGTGGACTGAAGGGGTCTCAAATTAATCTAGCTATGTTTATTAAGTTTACATTTTGAGTTACCTTGAAGAAAAGCTAATTATAACAACCCAAATATCCAATTCCTGTTTCACACCTGTCGTTGTGTGAAACAACTCCCCCCCTTTCTCTTTTAAAGAACAGAACCACGTAAAATAGTCACAAATGAGAAAAGCACAAAAGCAGTGAAGGTTGTGATGAAGTTTCAATGGGATCATTACAATTCCTTATAGTGTGCTATTACCTTCTAGGCAATTTAACATGAAACATGCACTCTCTCTGCCATAACTTAACACAATGTCTCTTTCAAAACCATTATGTTTTGTCACGTCAAGGGCTGTTTTTAACAAGCCTTTAATCTATATATCTGTAGCTGTCAAGAACAATATGGCCACCATTGATATTTTTTTCTGAAATGTTTGCTAATAAAGAGAAAGTAACACTCTATCTTCTACCAACCAACAAAAGATTGTTTCTAAAGGCCAAAAGAGAGTGGAGTGGCTCTAAAGATGGAGATACTTCTTCCAAATCTGTGCATTTTTTGTTTACCAAATTCCTCTTGTACAAGTTTTTTTTTGCTTCTTGCTTGCTTTGGATGTAATTTTATCCACCCGCTAGTTTTATCTTTACTTTCCCTTGCAGTCAATGCTTAACACAAAACTTCTGTTGGAGAAGTTGTGCATTTCAGACAGATATCTGGGTCTTCGTTTGGTGAAGTTGTGTAGAAGTGCAAAATTAGAAATGTTGCATTTAATATACAGATAAAAGGAATTGCACCATCGGTGCTTTTCATTGCAGGGATAAAAATTTAAAACATGCATTAAGGGAAGTTTAGGACAATCTGAGAAAGAAGGAACAGCATTTCAGTTGACCTACTCTAGTGTAGCACATGTCAAGGGATGTTGAAGTCTGCTATGTCATGATCATGTTTTAATATTCCCACCACTGTGGGGAATGGCCATTTTGCTTCCCATTTTCTGTCTTTTTATTTTATTTTTTTCCTCCAGAAGGGAAGAAATTAGTAGAATTAGGATTTTGGGGTCACACACAAGATTTGAGGGGCAAGCACACCAGCTACCCACTTTTAGTCTAATTGTACCCTATGTGTAGTTTTGAGATGGTGATTGAAACTTACAGACATAAAGACAGAGTGTCTAGAGATGTCTCTTTTTTTTTTTCAGGACTTCTCTAGGACTTTGCCTTGATTGGAGAAGATGGGAGGAATTCCTTTCTGGTCACTAGTTCATGATAAGGAAAGATTTAGTTGAGTTCTTGGAATTAATTTAACTTCTAACTGAGTGCATCAACTGAGCCATTTTTGGAGCATGCATGGCCCACTTTACTGCACTTCATTGGCCCATTCTGGGAACAAAGCCACAGTTTACAGAATCACAATACTGCATTGACACCTGCTGTTTTCCAAATGTGGTGTTCACCATAAAATAAGCATAGTCCAATGCTATAGAATAATAATATATTCTATCTGGGTAAGCAGGAGAATAAAACTGCTAAACAGTTCTCTGATTGTAATTGCCATATTGTTTCTCCAAGACACTTGACCAGCTGTTCATGCTGATAATACTCTTATCATAAATTTAGAAAAAGATATGCCTTTAATAGACTCAGAAACCTATGGACCTTATAATGGATGTCAAAGCAGCACCAGTTTTGTGTGCTGCCTGCAGTCCATGTGTGCACAGATGAGGCTTTGCTTACTTGTGCAGCCCAGTTCCTGCCGGGCTGTGAACCGGTGCCAGTCCACAGCCTGAGGGTTGGGGACCCCTGCTTTAAAGGAAGGTTTTCTGCAGATTGAAAAAATAAAAGAAATTCTCCTCCTTCGTTTCATCCATGAACCTCTCCACTCTTTCCTAATTCTACAACTTTTCTGCTTAATTCACAGTGAGCAATATTACCTGCAATCACATCTTGCCTTTGTCGTACTCATTAGTGTGAGAGTTAATTCCGAGTCAAGTGCCACCTCCAATTTCTTGTATTTAGAAAATCTGTTAAGAATAATCAGATTAATTAAAAGCCAACTAAGCCTCTGGGAGCCTGAGTGGATGTCAATTCCCTTCCCCCCTCCCCCGCAACCCCCACTGCTTACAAAGATACTGACTTGGAGTTGCTTGCTAGCGGTCTTATTTGTGCCAATTGTTGTAGCCAAAACCAGCTCGCCTAAAGCAACCAAATCACTTTGAAGATACAACATCAGTTTATTAGGCATGCAACCAACAAAACAGTTTAGGCTCCTAGCAAAAAATCATCCATTTGCTGAGCAGCCCTGAGCAAAAGCAGAACTGGAGTTTGTACAACTTTGGCCTACTACATCACAAGACAAGGAAAAAGGCAAACACAATGTAGGTTGCAACATGTCCTAGGAATGTTTTTGATCAACTCATCTGGATGACCTTCTGATTCTTTAACCCTTCCCTACTAGGTCAACATGCTAACTTTGAGATATAGTTAGTGAATAGCAATAGCACTTAGACTTATATACCGCTTCATAGTGCTTTGCAATATTCAAGGTGGTCCTTACCTATGTGCTGTGTAAGCTGAAATCTTTCTAAGCATAATAACAATAACAGAGTTGGAAGGGACCTTGGAGGTCTTCTAGTCCACCTCCCCCTTCCTTAGGCAGGAAACCCTATACCATTTTAGACAAATGGCCGTCCACTCTCTTCTTTAAAACTTCCAGTTTTGGAGCATTCACAACTTCTGGAGACAGGTTGTTCCACTGGTTAATTGTTCTAACTGTCAGGAAGTTTCTCCTTAGTTCTAAGTTGCTTCTCTCCTTGATCATTTTCCATCTGTTGCTTCTTGTCCTGCCTTCAGGCACTTTGGAGAACAGCTTGACTCCCTCTTCTTTGTGGCAACCCCTGAGATTGTTCTGCCTTTCTGGCATAAGATGCCTGATTTTCACTGTATCGGGGCCTGACAGAATGATTGGCATTACATACTAGCGGTAATATATTGGCACCAATATACTGATGCGTAGCTTATTAATTAATGTGGTTATGTTTGATGAACATATTCTGACAATAGAGAAATATGAACAGTCAATACTTGTTGGAAAAAATGATGTAGATCCATTTATAATGTGCTGGATCAACATTGTACAGTCATAAGACTGGATTTTACGTGACAGGATTTTAATTCCTTTTTCTTTTTTCCCCTAGTGCAATAAATAATAGAGCAGAACTAGGAACAGCTTGATTGCAAGCCCAAGTCTCCTCCATCAATTCAAACAGCTGTCATAGTGCTGGTGGTTTCCCCTTGTGTTAGACTACGATTTCTACACACCATGTCGTTCAAGGAAGATATGTTTGAGAGTCCGTCACTTCATAATGAAACTTCAAGTCAGCTTTGAAAATGCCTTTTGTAGTAAAGTTATTCCAATGACTTAGAGCAGTGCTTCTCAACTTTGGCAACTTTAAGATTCGCAGAATTCCCCAGCCAGCGTTGCTTTTTTTGTACACATGTTTTATTTTTCTCTCTTTTTGTTGTTAGTGTTGGACGTTTCTTAGTCTGTTTTTTTTTTTTTCTTATTTTTTCTTTATTTTGTATTTTATCTCTGGTGATAAAAAATAAATAAACATGTTAAAGGCAATGATAGAACTGCAAATTTAATTCACAATAGTATTAATGAAGAGTTAAGAAGAATACATTTCATTTTCTTTCTAAAAATCATCTATGTTATTACATTCTTTCATCTAAGAAGAAATTCAGAAAAGAAGAGAGATGCTTCAGTGTCATAACTTTAGGAAAAGAAAATTCCTTTCTCTGTTTATATTCATATTCTGGCCTTGTTCCCAACAAAGCATCACAATACGATCCACATTTTCTTTGTTGAGTAGAACAAAGGTATGCAGAGTTATACAGAAGCCCAAGATGCTAGCATACTTTAATTGCAACTGTTGTTGTTGTTGTTCTTGTATTTGATTAGGTCTTTTTATAGGCTACCCAGGTCTTTGTTACCTAGTAACTAAAATTTTCATCCTTAGTTACTTTCAAGAAATGCAATAGAAGAGACCCTGAACTCACACCTGTTCACGCCACAAAAATTAACAATGCAGAGAAACTCATGCATATTTCCTTAGTGGACTCTTTGCAACCATACATTGTGTTTTGAAAAATAGTTTCCTTACAGGAAAGATCTATTCGCTCGAGAGAGGGGTGAAAATGATAGATGATTTATTTCCAAAAGGATTTGGCTAGGTCCAATCGAACGAGGGCCTGTTCTGTAATGATGTCAGTATATCTGCCATGATGCCAGGGCACTTTGTTGATTTCTTATTAGAGTCAAAAGTGTGATTTACAGATTATCTGCCATCAAGTCAGTGTCAGCTCTTAGCAACTATCGATAGACTTTCTCCTTAACAATCCTTTCCTAATCTGGTCTATTGTGCACTTATTGCCCCTGTAACTGAGTCCATCCATGTGGACTGTCATATATGTACTGTATGCATGTGTTTGTTTGTTTATTTATTTATTTATACCCCGCCTTATTATTTTTACAAATAACTCAAAGTAGCAAACATATCCAATGCTTTATTGTTGAAAGGATAAACCTGGAAGAGTGTCAGTTCCAGAAATAAAAAAAAGCCCCGAGCAAATCAATAAATAAAAAGAGTTCCCCTCCATCAGATTCAAGAAACAGAGTACAGAATAATAATAATAAAAAATTCTGAAGGAAGTGCATCCCACATTTTTCTCATTCTCGGTTGAGGAAAAAAAACAACACTTGTTTATTTCTCCTGAGACCTACAACTACCTTTCTGTCTTCTATTCCTTATTTTGTCGGTGTACCATTTGAATAATAAAGGAACAAAGTTTAAAGGAGAGGAAGAGGAGGAGGAAGAGGAGGAGGAAAAGAGGAAGAGGAGGAGAAGAGATGACAAGAAGAGAAGGAAGAGAGCAGTTGGAGAAGGAGGAAGAGAAGAGAAGAGAAGAAAAGAAAAGAGAAGAAAAGAGAAGAGAAGAGGAGGAGGAGGAGGAGGAGGAGGAGAAGAGGAGGAGGAGAAGGAAGAAGAAAAAACACAAGATTCCTTCCTCCCTTCTGCATTCTGACTCGGTACTCCAAGAAACAGACCTTGGGGACTGCAAGGTCAAAGGCATGCTAGAGGGCCTCTCCATTCAAAAGTTCAGATGTAATTGCAGGAGGGAGAATTCCTTTACGGAAACTCTGCTCTTGTCTGCATCCGGAAGATAAGCTTGCCTATCTCCAGGCCAGGGAAGACAATTTAGCAGTCCTGGAGAATGGATTGTTCCTATCTACGCCCGCAGCAGCAGTGACAGCAGCAGGAATCCCAGATGGAAATGCTTTTCTGCTTGTTTGTTTGTTTGTTGTTGGTGGAAGGAAAAAAAAACAACAACAGCAGCAGGCCACTAAAAGCATTAACGGTTCCATTATATCTTTCCTTCAAGAATCCCTTGGTTTGTATTGCTGCAAGCCTTTTGGCGGGACCAAAGATGCTGTCATCCATTTCAACCCTTTTCAAACTCCCCTGGAATTATGCTCCAGTCAACAGCATGAGACTTCACACACACACACACACACACACACACACACACAAACACAAAAAAAAATAATAAAAACCCACAAGCTCTCCCTGCTCTGGTTTTTTGAAGGGAGAAAGATCCTCGATCTTTTAAGACCAGCTACCGGGAAAGGAATTGCGAGCCATTTTAGCAACCCCATGGCTACATCCCTTCCTGAGGGATGCTTTATTTATTGATTTATTTGTTATTTACTTATTTCCCACTTTAAATATTTTTATAGACCCCCTCAAGATGGTGAATATATCTAATATTTCTTCTATTTTCCTCACCACAACCCTGTGAAATGAATTGGGTTGAGAGAGAGAGGAACTCTCGCCCAAAGCCCAACCAGCTTTCATGGTTAAGACAGGACTAGAACTCACTGTCTCCTGGCGATGGGCCCAAAGTCAGCCAGTTGGCTTTCATACTTAAGGCAGGACTAGAATTCCCTGTCTCCTGGTGATGAACCCAAAGTCACCCAGCTGGCATCCATATTTAAGGTGAGACTAGAACTCACAGTCTCCTGATTCCTAGCCCAGTGCCTTAACCACCAGATCAAACTGGCTTCACACTGGCAAATGTTTCATCTATCTCATTGCACCTTCATGCAAGACATCATGTGATTATCATTTTTTTAAAAAAAAAACACAGAACCGGAGAGAATATTTTAATGGGCTGATTTTAAACAAAAATATTTCAACAAAATGCCAGAGTTTGCCACTTGTTTTATAAGCATCAGGAGATTTTGATGCCTATATGGTTTTAGATGGATCCCTACTTTCCAGTTTTGGGTACATCCATGAAAAGCCAATTAAATCACAGGAGAGAGAGAGAAATAAACCTTTGGATGCAGCTCAGGAGAATGTTTTGTTACTATTATACAAATGGAATCCTATTTTATTGTCGTATCTTGAATTGTATGGCTACAAAAATAAACAAAAGCTACTCCTGAGATGTTACTCTTTTATGTTTTTCTCACTCCTGGAAAGAGATTGAAGTGCCAAAAGTTTTATCACCAGCTTCTTTGAAGACTGACTGAATTGTTGCTAGCAATGCTGGCTTTCTCTTTCTGTAAATCTCTAGAGTAAATAATTCCTACCATTCAGCAATAATACCCTTTTTATCTATGCAATGACACCAATAATGTTTTAATCCTCTTGGTTTCCTAAGCACAGTGGGATACAACTTCCCAGGGATGTATGTGTATACAACAATATTTTTGAAACGGTATCTTTGTAATGCACCAACCATGTTGTAATGTCTCACTATAGTCATCAACCTTATTTTGGATTCCTACATTTTGGTGCCTTACACAAAAGATGTAAATATACACAACCCATAATACATTTATTGTGTGTTTTGATGGCCACCCAATTGTTTCGGAATCAGGAAACTGGTTGAAATTGGTTGAAGTCTAATCATATGGCTTCTATAAGCCATAGCAATGGATAATTTTGCAATCTTCTTTGGGCTCTCTGAAAGGGAAAAAGGTCATCCCACGGTCATACAAAGAGTTGGTTTTCTAACTATAGGAGATATATCTGATTACTTAATTGATTAATGGATTATACATATCATCAACTCATTTCTACTCTTAGCAGCCTTTTGTCCACAGTGATTTATCCCTAACCCAGGGGTAGACAACCTTGGCTCTTTTATGACTCATGGACTTCAACTCCCAGAATTCCTGAGCCAGCCAGGAATTCTGGGAGTTGATGTCCATGAGTCATAAAAGAGCCAAGGTTGCCCATCCCTGCCCTAACCTGTTTTTTCAAGTGCCCTAACAGTGCAGCCATCACTACTCTTAACAGAGTCCATCCATCTTGGTACTGATCATCACTTCTTCTCTTTCCTTCCATCTTTCCAAGCGTTAGAAACTTTCCAGAAAGCTGGTTTCTTGCATAATATATCCAAAGTAGGATAATTTGAGCCTGGTTATAATTTGAGTCTCAAGTGAGAACTCTGGGTTCATTTGTTCATTGGTTTTTTTTTTTTCCTTTGCTGTCCGTGATATTCTCAAGAGTCTTCTCCCACACCAACATTCAAAAGCATCAATATTCTTCCTATCCTTGGTTCTTACACCCACACACACATTCTATTTCATGCATTTTAAATGATTGGTCTTGGACTGTAAACAAACTTCAAACAGATCTAATCTTAAGCCACTGGGCTTCCTTCATGCAATAAGATTTTCTCCTTTTGATTCCCAACTATAGCTCCCCAACCGACATCTTTAAAATCAGGAGGGTTAAAGAGATATATAGTTTTGGACGGCAAAATTTATCCATGGATCGCAATCTTTGACCAAGCAGTGACATTAATAAATCATGAAAGCCTATAATATTATATTGCCCAATGGTAGGAAAGCTGAAAATAAAAATTCAAAAAGTGCATAGTTGAATTTTCAGTACCCTGGAGAGCACAAATTTACTTTAATCAGCATTCATTCATACTGTAGACCTGTTTCTACAACATGTTTAACTTGGTAAATGGAAGGGTAAGTGCATTATGGGAAAATGGGGTCAACTTGACCCAGTCATTTAAACCATTCAGCACCAAATGCAGAGTCGCAGACGTGACTCCACTAACTTTACTGGTCAGCTAAACTGGCATAACTGAATGTGGTCATTTGCCTAATCCTCCTATAAAAAGAGTTGAAAGTAAAGAATAGCTGAATGACCCACTCCTATGACTTTTCATTACAATGCTCACTGCAGAGGTTTAGCAACACAAGACATGTCACCTAACTATTGACTGACTGCAATATTTGACCAACGGGACAGAATATAAATCTTGCCATGAAGTCTTGACACTATTCTGTTTAAAGACGAATTTGTGGATAGCAGTTATTTCCAGGATAAAGTGAATGGAACTCTCGACCCTTGCTCCATTTTTTTTAATATTAATTGACTATGAAAGACAAGCAAAAAGGTAAAAAAGGGAATGATGCAGAAAGTTATACACAAATTAA